AACAACACATGTATCTCCATTATCTGGAAAAAAATGTTACGTACATGTTTTTGCTTTATTCTGTAACGTAATCAATTTTTTTTGACAGCAACGATGCTGGTTTTGCTGCTGACCAGTTATGCTTGTGATGGATTACAGACTCCATCTGTTATGACTGCTGATACAACTTCATTACTCTGCTAGCTTGCAAGTTAGCAAGCTAAATGCTACAAAACTAGCAACAACAAAATAAGTGCAATGAACGAGTTGTAAGCCAAACCTTACGGCCAATTTATGTACATTATGTTCAAACTTCTCAATACTTTTTTGCAAAGCTAGCTAATTAGCTCAACGAGGCTAACCTAGCTGAGGGCACGTGTGTTCTGTCCACTTAACGTAGGTGCGGCACACTTTTGATTGGTGAGTCGAAGTCGGAGAGGGAATGTTAATGAAGTGTTGAAACGATGAAGACGAGTATGGGAATAAAGCACGAGTGTCATGTGTTTTATACACTAATGAAGCAGGAAGTCATGGTTGACTAATGGTAAGTTCTTCAAGACTCCTCAATACAGTAAGTTTAAATATAAACGGCTAGTTAGATTTTTGTAATAAATCACAAAGTCATTTTTCTTGTCTTTGGGAAATACTGCGAAGTTCTTAAAGGCTGAAAATGATAATACAAAAATATTGAATTTGCTACTATTATAAATGTACAAATGTAAATGAGATTTTACTACTATTAGATTTTGTTTGTAAAGCAAATCTACCAATGGCAAATATTATGACAAGAATACTTTTGAGAACAATCTTTTGTTGAAGAAAGTCTTCTCCTATTTTCTGAATATACGATCGAGCTGGGAAACATCAATGACATCAATGGCATTTTTTCCCTCCAGGGTCAGTGATTCCAGAGGGCACTGTGTTTCCCTTTGGTTTGATATCCTATCACCCATTTACCCATCAGGAATGTAGCTGGACGGAACAGAATACCTTTAAATGACCAGAGGCCCACATCCACAATCAGAGATGAGAACAGAACACAGATAAGTGACAATGATGTCCCATAGCTGAGTGATAAAGCTGTTCTCTGACTGGCTGCTGCCTTAAAGAGGAACTCCATTTTGAAATTTCTGTCTAATTCCGTGGTTAAGATGTCATTCAGAGTCGTTTAGCCATTTTATTTACTATCCAAAACCACCAGTGAACCTACATGTGTCTTCTGAGTGTTTATATGAATGTTGATGATGGTAAAATAGTGGAAAATCTGAAATAATACGTTTTCTAGGGACTATTTGGCCTCACAACGCCATGTATATTATGGATCCCTCCACCATGATTAAATTTTAAGGTCGAAATCTTCTCAAAACTATCATAAAATAATGTTTCAGACATCAGGCAGTGAATTCATAACCATTTCATGTAGTAACTTTCTGTGAGGGAGCTTTTAGAGGTGGACGTCTGGTTCCTACCACCACTGTTAGCAAAGTTTCTCTAGAACAGAGCGTTTCACCCCAAACCACTGTGAACCACTCTGTTTACATCTCAACCATTTAATCATGCAGTAATTTTTTAAGATCAGGCCCTCTTAATCTCAATGAAGGACGTTTTTCTGATCAAACAGATTCTAACAGAGGATCTGCGCTGTGAAAATGAACTGACTAATGCGGTTATTTCAGAATTATGGTTGTCTAATACAAATATAGGTCTGGATGTGAGTAAGTGAGGGGGGAAGGTGTGACATTCATCACAGGGGTGAGAAAAAAAAGATCAGTGGACTTTCTGGAAGTGTTTGTATGGTTTACGTTGTTGGTTTAGCTGGTGACTCTTTGTTCAACTGTGTCTGTATCTGAGTTTAGCTGATTAGATTGTGTGCGTTTCCTAGACTTACAGCGGTGCTTGAAAGTTTGTGAACCCTGCAGAATTTTCTATATTTCTGCATAAATTTGACCTAAAACTTCAGCAGATTATCACACATTTATTTATTGAGGAAAATGATCCAATATTACAGATCTGTGAGTGGCAAAAAATATGTGAACCTTTAGGATTAGCAGATAATTTGAAGGTGGAATTAAAGTCAGGCAGTTTTTAATAAATGGGATGGCAATCAGATGCGAGTGACCACCCTGTTTTATTTAAAGAACAGGGAACAGGTTACATAACCATCTCTAAAGAGTTTGAACTCCACCAATCACAGCCAGACAGACTGTATACAATTGGAGGAAATTCAAGACCACTGTTACTCTCCCAGGGAGTGGTTGACCAACAGAAATCACACCAAGAGCAAAGCGTGTAATAGTCCGCGAGGTCACAAAGGAACCCACGGTAACTTCTAAGCAACTAAAGGCCTCAAAGTGGCTACTGTTAATGTTCATGAGTCCACCATCAGGAGAACACTGAACAACAACAGTGTGCATGGCAGTGTTGCAGGGATAAAGCCGCTACTCTCCAAAAAGAACATTGCTGCCCGTCTGCGGTTTGCTAAAGATCACATGGACAAGCCAGAAAGCTACTGGAAGATCTTTTGGTTTAAATGAGAAGCGGAAAACACTGCATTCCAGCGTTAAAAACCTTATCCCATCTGTGAAACATGGTGGTGGTAGTATCATGGTTTGGGCCTGTTTTGCTGCATCTGGGCCAGGACAGCTTGCCGTTATCCAGCAAATCCTAAAGGAAAATGTCAGGACATCTGTCCGTGAGCTGAAACACAGGAGAATGTGGGTCATGCAGCAAGACAACGACTCTAAGAACACAAGTTGTTCTACCAAAGAATGGTTAAAGAAGAGTAAATTTAATGTTTTGGAATGGCCGAGTCAAAGTCCTGACCTTAATCCTATAGTAATGTTGTGGAAGGACCTAAAGCAGCTGTTTATGGAGGAAACCCACCAACATAAGAGCTGTTTTGTATGGAGGGCTAAAACTCCACCAAGCCGATGTGCAGGACTAATCAACAGTTACTGGAAGCGTTTAGTTGCAGTTATTGGTCACACCGGGTACTGAAAGCAAAGGTCCACACACTTCTGCCACTCACTGATACGTAATATTGAATGATTTTCCTCAATAAATCAATGACCAAGTCAAGTATTTTTGTCCCATTTGTTTAATTTGGTTCTCTTTATCTACTATTAGGACTTGTGTGAAAATCTGATGAAGTTTTAGGGCAAATTTATGCAGAAATATAGAAAATTCTAAAGGGTTCACAAACTTCATCAGCATCACTGTACGTATGATGTGGTCTGAAAACGCTTCCCTTCATTCAAGTGTGAGTAAATCTATGGTCATCAGTCTGTCATACTGAAAAACATAAATACAGTAGTGTGCAAAAGTTTGGGCACCCCTGGTTAAATTATAATTACGTTTATGTTTATTTGCTGAGTTTAACATGTTCGGAAGAAAATAAGACCTAAAATGTGGCTTGTGCAAAAGTTATGGCACATTTCATGCTGTATGCTTCATTTTTCAGCAAAAAACATGCTTTTTAAAACTTACTTTCACAATCAACAAAATGTGTAGTCTGACCCAGGGGTGTTCAAACTTTTGTATATGACTAAGTCTAAATCTTACCAATTTCACAAACTCAAACAGGAGTCATTGCTCAATGTATTTAGTATAAATGTTGAAAATATTTTATGGTTTCTTAATTAAGTCCTTTAAAAAAATATCAGCAAAAAAATTAAATTTAAAGAATTTAGAGAAAAGAAAATCAGTAGATCTTGCTATAGTTTAAGACACTCGACTAGACATGCATGTATGAGATTAATCAGTGAGTTTTTAGAGTCTCTGTCTTAATTAGACACATTAGCTCTTACACAGACGAAATTAAATAAGACATTTATGTTTTTTAGTATGACAGACTGATGACCATAGATTTACTCACACCTGAAAGAAGGGTAGCGTTTTCAGACCACATCTGAACAGTTTTCCACTATGAAAGAAGAAAATTCAACACAACTTTGTTTATTTTAAGATTTTAACTGGACAAGCTTTCTAATCTTTACCACATTCCAAAACATTGCATTCGTAAAATAAGCAAAGTTGTCTTAAAATTTGCATGAAATTTGAATGAAATTTGAATGAAAATGAATGTAGCAGGTTATTGTATGGCTTTGTGTGCCTCATTTTAAGAAGTATTTTCAGGAATGTGTCTAATTTTAAGTATTGGACTGTTAATTTAAGACTGTTTTAAAGACACTTTGTTTACTTATGTGCAAAGTTTCTTCTATAGTGTTGAGCTGGACGCATTTTCATTTCAATACATTTTGAAAAATTTTAAGAAAATGCTTAAAAGAAGTTTTATGCTAGTTTTTGCTAGTTTTACATTATTTTTATGACATCATATCAAATTAGTGTTGCTGAAATCCAGCCACAATGTCTTACACCAATGACATATTTCTGTCTTATGACTGATTTCTAGATTATAAGGTCATTTACAGCACAAGATCTTTTTTCTAATTCTAAGAAATCTTATTAAGTAAAAATTTATTGCTGTATCTGCAGGTAATTTTGCTTGATTCATCAACATTTTTTCTTTATTTACTTTTATTTTTCTTCTTTTTTGACCGTGTGACCCTCCGGTCTGAGACCTTTGAATCTGGGCTAAATTAAACAGATACTTTATTATGGACCAATCAGCCAATCAGACCCCGCATATTACATCACAGCCTCCTGTAGTAAAGCTAAGCCAACTCCAGCTGCCCTCTAGGATGGGTTTTGCTCGGTGCCTCTGTGGACACTTAAGGAGTGACGTGCATCACAGAGCGAGGATGAGGATGAGCTTGTGGGTGAGAGAGTGTGCGGGACACCGTGAGGGTCACTGTTTGTGCTCGCTCGGCATTAAGAGAATTGGGTGAAAGGTCCTTTATAGGGAATTTTACCCAGAGTTCAAAACACAAACCAGATGTCCGTGTGTGTGTGTGTTCCTGCGTTCGGCCTCTGCTCCACTCCTCCCTCATGATCACCCCATCACAATACCCCCTCCTACCCCCCCTCCTCACATCTCCCCCATCTTTATAGCCCCCTCTTCTCCTTTACTCCCTCAGTAGCTCTCCAGCGAGCAGAAGCGAAGGATGGAGAAGTCTGTGCTGTTTCTTCTGCTGCTGAGCGTCTGGGCCCTCAGCAGCCTCGCCCAGCCTGCAGGTGAGTCTCACTCAGCACTCAGGATGAGAGTGGATGCATGAGAGAGAGAAAGACAGAGAGAGAGAGAGACAGAGAGAGAGAGAGAGAGAGAGAGAGAGAAAGAGAGAGAGAGAGACTTTAAGCTGTACACTAATGTGCCTCATTTTGTATCCACTGTGAATTATTCAGCCTCCATTATGAATTGTTCAATAACTGCAATAAATTATTTAGTATGTACTATGAATTATTCAGTTATGAACTGTTTAGTATCCACTTGTTCAGTATCTATTATGAATTGTTCAGTATTCACTATGAATCAGTCAGTATTTGTTACAAATTGTTCAGTATCCACTACGAATTGTTCAGTATCTAGAATGAATTATTCAGTATCCACTATGAATTGTTCAGTATCCATTATGAATTGTTCAGTATCTCGTATGAATTATTCAGTATCCAGTATGAGATATTTAGTATCCACTATGAATAGTTTAGTATCTAGTATGAATTATTCAGTATGCAGTATGAATTTTTTAGTATCTATTATAAATCATTCAGTATCCACTATGAATTTTTCTGAATCTATTACGAATCATTCAGTGTCCACTGTGAATTATTCAGTATCTGCTATGATTTTTTCAATATCTATTATGAATTATTCAGTACCTATTATAAGCCTTTAGTTTTCACTATGAATTGATTAGTACCTACTATAAATTATTGAGTATCTACTGTGAATTGTTCAGTACCCAGTATGAATTGTTTAGTATCTGCTATGAATTATTCTGTATCCACAATAGGTGTAAATGTATTTTTGATGAATCTATCCCTAAATGGATAAATGTAAATAATGCATTAACTCTAATTAGGTTGGAATTAGTAACATTTTATCATTCTTCAATTACACTATTTTCCATTTCTCCTTCCTTTTTCTTTTCTTCCTTTAAAAGAGAAAGGCACTGCTTACATTATTTTCCTACTCAGTGCATTTCAAGAAGTTCCAAAAGGGGTTCTTTGGAGTGATATAAAAGAACCACTTTTGGTTCCTAAAGAGCCTTCGAGAGGATTTTTGTGAATGAGATGTGCGAGTGTGAAGAACCTTTTTACACTTTTAACAGCTTCCACATCCTGTAAATGTTCTACACTGATAAAGGTTTTTATTCCTAAAAGCAAAGAAGCATTTAGGAATGTTTTTTTTACCTTTTTAAGAGTGTAGTGTAGCATTCAGACGAGCATGAGTAATTTAAGCGGCACGTGTTGACTTAAACCCCCACCCTTCTATATACATTAGACGGGTACATTGGGCTTTTAGAAGGAGGCCCTTCATCAGCATGGAATTTCCTGAAATCGCCTCAATCAGCACAGCTTCCATATACCTCACAAGTAATCAGGCCTAAATGCAGTGCACATGGAGTCCAACCCCCACCATCCCCAGTGGGCGAACTGGAGAGCACTGCACAGCCCAGTGTCCAGGATTCTTTAGATTCTCCTCTTATCACTGGTGTGTCTTATCAGTGCTCTGTTGTCATGCCTCCTGTGGAGAACATGAACCCTTTGGGAGGTTATTTGATTTATAGAGCCTTATAGTCCCACAAAGAACCCTTGAGGAACCCCTTTAAGAGTGTGTGAAGGTTGAGGGGAATGTTTAGTCTTTGAAGGAGGTCTGCAGCTCTGTGAGTCTATACATCAGAGTTAATCCATAGAATTTACTGAGGTCATATCCAAACTCCATTTTAAAGGTTTTCTAATGACAGCACTGATAACGTTTTACAGTTATGATTTTTTTATGATAACAAATGATTGTTTTGTTTTATTCAGTATCTGAATTATTCAGTAACTACTTAGAATTAATTAGTATATACTATGAATTATTCAGCAACTACTAAAACTACTAAATAATTCATAGTAAAAAAAATGACAATTTTAAGTAGTTATCAATCATAGTAGTTACTGAATAAATCATAGTAAAAATTATTTTTTTTTAGTAGTTACTGAGTAATTCATAGCAAATATGAAACAATTTTAAGTAGTTACTGAAAAATTCATAGACGTTACTGAGTAATTCATAGCAGATATTAAATACTTTAAAGTAGTTACGGAATAATTTATAGAAGTTACCGATTAATGCATAGCAAATATTAAATACTTTAAAGTAGTTCCTGAATAATTCATAGATGTTACTGATTAATTCATAGCATACATTAAATCATTTTTAGTAGTTACTGAAAAATTCATAGAAGTTACTAAGTAATTCATAGCAGATATTAAGTACTTTTAAATAGTTACTGAATAATTTATAGTAGTTACTGAATATTCAAAGTAAATATTAAATAATTTTAAGTACTTACTGAACAATTAATAGAAGTTACTGAGTAATTCATAGCAAATATTAAATACTTTTAAGTAGTTACTGAATAATTCATATTAGTTGCTAAATAATTAATGTTATTGAATAATTGTTGTAGTTTCTGAATAATTCAGAGTAGCCTTAGAGTAGAATAATATTTAGTAGTAATGTAATATAAAGGTTCTATATTACATAAAGGTTCTAATGTACACTGCTATGAATTATTCAGTAAATACTTCAAATTATTTAATATTTACAGTGAATTATTTAGTAACTACTATCAATTATTCCGTGTTTAAGTATTATACAGTAACTATTAAGAATAAGTTCAATAACTATTAATTATTATGTAGCATTTACTATGAGATTCAGTATCTATTATTTATTTAACATTTGCTTTGAATTATTCAATATTTACTATAAATTATGCAGTAACCACTAAGAATGATTCAGTCAGAGACAATAAACTATTATCCAGTCATGTTTTATATCAGTGTTAAGATTCAGTTTAGACTATATTAACATATAACTTATATGTTAAAGTCTCTGCTGTTTGATTTTCTCAATTATGCACTGAGTAATGTGGCTCTTTTAGACTTGCAACTAAAATCTCTAAAAACTGAAAAGATAAAAAAAATTGAAACTGTTGTTAAAATGCCAGCACTTCTCACGACAATGCGTCTTTGCGGCTGTACATCACGTGCATGTTTCATTATAAAATGAAGTAGAAATGGTCCAAAATTACATAAAAGTGATTCAATTCCATTTACATTAACATGCATTGAGGTTAAGAGTGTTTTTTTCCTCCTGCTATAAAGTTCCGAGGTTTTCTAATGACAGTTTATGGTATTTGTTTTATGTGTGATTTGCTGTGTCCTGTAGCGGAGCTGATCGAACAGTGCCCTGATAGGATTCTGGGTAACGAGAGGAGGAGAACATGCCCGAAAAAGTGCCAGCAAGACAAAGACTGCGCCAACAAGCGTCAGTGCCTCTGTGACGGACAGTGTGGACTCAGCTGCGTGGCCCCAGGTCAGACTATTAACATCACAACACCAACACTTACAGCCATAGACATCTGCAGTGTCATAAAAGAGGTCATAAGGACCTGGACAGCTCCAGTTAACACTTTAATTCAAGGTTCTAACTGCATAAAACACGTCTTTCATAACATATAATGAAAAGGCATGCATGAATGCTTATGTGTAATATTACCATAAGCGCTAAATAACCAAGGAAAAGGTTCTCTATAGCACCAAAAAGGGTTCTTCTATTGTTAGGATGTTGAGCTTGTTACAATAAAAAAACCCTTTTGGTGCTATATAGAACCCTTTTCAAAAAGGTTCTGTATGGAACCATCTGCAGCACATTCTCCATCAATCTAAAGAACGCATGATTAAAGGGTTCTTTGCATCATGAAATCGTTCTTTAGATTGATGGAGAATGTGCTGCAGATGGTTCTATACAGAACATTTTTGAAAAGGGTTCTATGTAGCACCAAAAAGGAAGAAGAACCCATTTTTGGTGATATGCAGAACCTTTTCCTTGGGTTTTCAGCACTTATGGTAATATTATACATAAGCATTCATGTGTGGCTTCACCCTTTCTTTGAGTGTTCATGGTTCTATACAGAACCATTTTCTTTACTAAAGAACCCTTGAAGAACCATCTTTTTTAAGGGTGTAGTGCTGGTCTGTTGCTGGTTTAGCTGGTCACCCAGCACAGTCATGCTGGTTGACCAGCATACCAGCATCCAAAACACACTATATCGCTGCTCTCCAAAGAACTTTACAGGAGAACCAAAGCGTTCTTAACTTTTAACATAAGTTAATGTAAATAGATTTTATTTCAAGCAATTTTGGAGCACTTCTGTTGGTCCATTCATCATGAAAGTCCCAGATGATGCACTGGGCAACTGCTGTGTACAAATAATATAGAAAACAAATGGACATACTTGGGATTTTTGGACAGCAACAATATGCTGGTTTTGGTGGTGACCAGCATATTAACTTACATTGCTGCTGACCTGAATACCAGCATCCAAAACACAACATATTCTGGTTTTGCTGGTGAGCCAAGCTGGTCTGTGCTGGTATTTCTAGCAGGATTAATTTAAACATTCATTAGAAGTGACTCAAATTTACACTACACTTTAAGCCCAGATGTAGTCAATCCATCTCTGACCAAGACATGCTCTGTTGCTGTTTTAGCTTAGTGCTGGGGGCTAACATTGCTAGCAAACAATAGAAGTCAAATCTTTTCTATAAATACATCCTCAAAACGTCTCTCAGACCACATCCAGCTCTTCATTAAGGTGGTCCAGGCTTATCAATGTGGTTTAGAACACAGTATGACTTACTGTGAGTATAAAAATGAACAAAACAGATGCTAGGTAAACAGGTGCTACATAAAATGGCTAGCTAGCTTTCAGCTACACGGTATTTTGTTCATTTTAGAAGTCTTTCCTGTAAATATATCCTTAAAACTTCCCTCAAACTACATCCAGCTCTTCATTAAGGTGGTGCAGGCTTGTCGATGTGGTTTAGAACCCAGTATGACTTACTGTGAGCTATAAACATGAACAAAACACTGTGTGGCTTAAAGCTAGAGGCAGCACCTGTTTACCTAGCATCTGTTTTGTTAATGTTTATAGCTCACAGTAAGTCCTACTGAGTATAAAACCACACTGACATATCTGCACCACCTTATCTAAGAGCTGGATGTAGTTAGAGGGAAGTTTTGGGATATATTTACAGGATAGATTGAACTTCTACAATGAACAAAACACTAAGCTAAAAGCTAGAGGCAGCAATTTTATGTAGCACCTGTTTACCTAGCATCAGTTATGTTCACTTTTATAGCTCCCAGTAAGTCATACTGGGTACTAAACCACACTGACATATCTGCACCATCTTACTGAAGAGCTAGATATGGTTTAAGTGAGCTGAGAGAAGTTTTGGGGATATATATTCACAGGAAAAACTGTTAGCCTCACCGCTCAAGCACTAAACAAAAAAGTAACATTTGGACACCAAACATGTCTCGGCTGGTCTGGGGTAAGTGGAAAATTGTGTAAATTTGTGGAACCGAAGAGGGTTTAATGGGATTTCTTGGGCAGCCAAGATGTTTGGTGTCTAAAGTTTCTTTTGCACTGGAGCTACAAGGCAAATGTAGCTAACAAGCTGACAAGAATGATGGCTGCTACTGTTCTGAGCTGTATGAGGTACTTTAGTCCATGTTTGTAGATAATAGTGAGTCATACAGTGTCAGAAACCACATCATCGAGTCTATTACACTGTAAAAGTAGAAGGCAAGTTCAGAAGTAGGCGAGTTCACCCAAGTCAAACCTCTTGAGTCAAGAGTTCTCCCATCTTCCTTTTCTAGCTCTGCGTCTCAGTTAGGTAAACAATGTAGAATTCGTCCTCTGATAGCTGGAACTCTTTCCATCACACAATCCCATCAGACATTTTCTCCTTTTGGGCTTTCAGACATGGACAGCTGTAGCTAATGGGCTTCAAACTCACCACCTCCTGTTATTGGGGTGAATTATTAGATAGTTGCACCTCATGTGACCATGCTGCTCTTCACAGTAAAAAAACACATTTTCTACAGTGTATTAAACATTTTTGGACACATAAATCTAAATAAATTAGTCTGTATTGAGTTTGAACCCCAGTGCTGCCATAGCCCTCCGTAAGTGACGCCCAAGAGCAGAAAATATGTGATGTAACAAGTTCCATGTGGGAAAATGTAAAACAAATTCAATATTATACACTAAACAGCAATGCAGAACTAAAAAATGAGAGTTGGAAGAACTTTAGACTAAACTAAGATGTCTGATTTGGGTGAACTCAGGTTGATTAGGGTTCTCAGGTTGTGTTAACTCTAGAAAAGCTGTGTAATCAGCTACTTTATCATTTTAAATTGAGCTGACTTTCATTTTAACAATGTAGACAGTGTGTGAAATACTCCTTGGTGTTTGGGGGGGGGTCCCATCTTGGTTGTCCAGCGTTGGCTAACTGCTAACTTACTCGCCTTAGCGGTACTGGTGCTAGCTTCAGTGGCACCAAAATGTTTGGAAATGCTCTTTTCTAGTTTGGTAATACACTCTTCCACAGATTAACTAAGATCTTACACATCACCTCTAGTGTCTTTAGTTTGAGAAATGAGTAATAATTTGCAAAATTGGTTTTCAGATTCCCAAATATGCTACGGCACACTGGAAAGTTTTCCAAAGGTATTCCAGTTGCAGTTGCTAAGCTTTGAATGACCAACAGGGTGAACTAATTTGCTACAGCGCCACCCTAGTTAGTTAAGAATAGTTAAGAACAGTGAAATACAGAAACTCGCTAATTGTCAAGTAGGACAAACGGTGACCTTTCCCTGAATTTGTATTTGAGTGTCTTTTTTCCTTAATGGACAGCATAACTTTATGATAAGTTTATTTCCAGGGGGTCCAAGAGATTAATTAGGGGGTCTTGGACCCCCCACGGCCCCCTGTATTTCACACCTTAATTGTAGAGATCACTTAACAACTCCAAACACTTTGAGGCAAATGTGTAATTTAGGCATGCAGTTAGCATGATGCTAAATGGTATGCATTGCTAGCTAGACTAGCCTCGTAGCTCCAGTGCTAAAACACCAAACATGTCTTGGCTGACTGAGTACACAATATAAACTGAGGACAGCTCTGTTTGAACAGGACGGACGTGTCCATGGCCTCTTTCTACCGGTCAACACTTCGACGTGGTGCTCCTCTCTCCATCCCCCTCTTTCTCTGCTCTTCTGGAGGTGCGCTGCCACTCTGGCTACACCATGGCCAACGGTCTGGACGCCATGATACGCCGGTGCCAGGGTGACCGACAATGGAGCGGTGATGAACCTGTGTGCATAGGTAGGCAAAGCTAAAACTGACCATTGATGAGGATATTTAACACAGATTGTGTGTCAACAGATGGGCTACAGTCTCTAACTGTACACCAGCAAGGTAGAGCTACAACAGAGGTGTTTCTAATAAAGTGGCCAGTAAGTGTGCACAGTGTGTAAAACCCCAGCAGCACCTCTGTGTCCAGCAGAAAACAATATCTTGCAATAGTTATAGTAATAAGAATAATACCCAAATAATGATATAGGCTATGTTCTGTAAACCTACAATGTGCACCTATATGGTAACTGTTTCTGATAAAATGACCAATGAGTCTACAAGTTTGGTGGACATAATGAACTAGCAACTCTGTCCAACTCCTTAGTTCTATTAGGATGTACACAGCAGTAGGGAACCCTCAGAACAGACCTAATGACTTCTATCTACAATTTTTAGTTACTTTTTATTTAATATAATCATCATGTTTGTTCTATTTAAACTCTGCAAGTACTCTTAATTCATTGTTAAGCTTTGGCTGGGAAAAAAGGGTTAAAATCTTGAAATGAAAAATGATCTAAGCAGGATTGTTTTCTCTGTGGTATCTAGAAAGCTACAGCCAAGCTGCTCTCCCACTGGTTGGGACTTCAGGAGCTGAAGAGAAGGCCTTACATGTCAGACTGAATACTAACATAATTAGAAAATGACAGACCTGAAAAATAGCCAAACAAATACAAACATAAACACCAGTGAAGGCCAGTTTGAGCTATAAATGTCATTACTTGTTCAACAAAGAGAAAAAAAGCCTCTAATAATAATAATAATGTTCATTTTCTAGCACATCTATGAGGTTTCTAATAGTATGTTATGCTAACAGCAATTCACACAAATGTTTTTTGGCTGTTCTCATTAAACACGGACCTCTGAAGCTTGTAAAAGTCAATACATGCATTTTATTTGAGTCTTGTAACAGACATAAGCCTGTGATTGAGCTTGTATGTGTCAGATTTAAGTCAGTTTTTCGGAAAAGAGTCCTGCTGTCGCTGTTTTTTATTCCTAACCAAATTAGTTACGGCTCATATTCACAGTCAGTGATGTATCTAGAACTTCCAGAAGGGCTAGAGTGTTTTTTTCTTACAAAATTAGCCCCCTTTCAAATCTAAATATAAATGGTTGATTCCTTTGTCAATTCCTGATTATCTGTGTAGTTGATCTAATGTGTAAGGCCTTCTGTGCAGCTCCTGAAGTCCTGACCAATGGGGGAGCAGCTTGGCTGTCTCTACCTGGATACCACTGAGAAAACTATCCTGATTGGACAGTTTTCTGTTGGTCAGTTCAAGAATGTAACCTTTTTGTTTCCAACTAAAGCTTAACAATGAAACAAGACTATTATTGATCCTTGTAAAGTCTAAACACAAGAAGTGATTATACTATTAAATAAAAATTAAATAAAGTATTTTAAGTTCATAGAGATCATTAGGCCTTCACTGAAGGCCTAGTGGACCCCAAGGGTTCCCTTCTGCAGCAATCTGAAATCAGGCTCAAACTAGTATCTGTACATTCAAAGATACTGTAACAGACACAGGAACATGCCCACATGTGTACGATGGGAGATATTTCCAGGAACAAAGCAGCATCCAGAGAGGAGCTGTGGGCGTTTAGAGTGAGTCCTACAACACCTGCAGCTCAGACTCACTGATGGAGCGCACATACAGTGTAAATGTGTTAGATTTCCTCTCTCTCTCTCTCTCTCTCTCTCCACCAGTCTCACCAGTAAAGTCACCCACACACATTAGAGCCTGTCAGATCTGAGTCAGTGGAATGTGTGAACAGATCAGAGCAGATGGATGATCTGAGGCTGCAGCGTTTAAACCAAAGCTGTACACTCGGCCTATTCATCTGTGCTCCGTTCCACCTACACGCGTTCGCCCACTCACTCACCCATCTGCCCACCATCGCCAGTCTTACACCAGTCTGCCTGTGCATTTCCCAGTGTCCTCTGTTATTACCTTAGACTTTAACTGACATGTGGTTTTCACCCGTTCATTTTTAGCAGCTCTCCTCAGTAAACGACAGCACGTTCAGAACGATTACATACACTAGAAACCTCACACAAGTGTTTCTGCAAAACTAACTTCAACTAAAATGAAGTATGAGCAACACAGATATACTTATTACATCCTCTACAGGGAACAAAGGGGGAAATTCCATCTATTTCCCAAAGCTTCTGCATAATTCAGTGTGTGAGATGTAAGCAGAGTGATTCAGAGTGGTTTGGTGTGAAATGGTTCAGTTTTCTTTACAGTGGTGGTGATAGGAACCAGGGGTCGCCATGACTACAACACAAATATAGACATTTTATTTACTATCCCAAACCACCAGTGAACCTACACGTGTCTTCTGAGTTTTATATGTACTACTGATGGGACTATTTTGCCTCACAATGCCCTGCATGTATCCCTCCACCATAAATAGATTTTTAAGGCCAAAACCTCAAAACTATCATAAAACTTTGAGTGTGTTTACATGCACACAATAATCCGATCATAATCACATTTCTGCAGTTATCTGATTATTGAAATGGTCATGTAAACTTCAATTTCCTAGATCTGAGTAAAGTCTAAAAATCTGATTAAGAAGTCTGATAAAAAGGCTGGATTTTACTTCAGTAATCAGATTTCTCAGTGCATGTAAACTCTTACTCTGATTTCTTTCGGGTTTCTCAGTCTGTGCATGTTAAAAAAAGTGAGCAGCGTCGCCGCGAGACGCTCCAAAACACTTTTGGAGCGACACTGAAACCGACTACATGCTTGACGAAATGAAGGGTTTAAAATTCTTCATTTCTAGATGATGTTTGTTCATATTTTCAGGTAAAGCGGAGCGATGTTTTAACAAAATAGCCCTGGCAGGAAGTTTGAGTTTTCTTCTGTGAATTTATTGGCTGGTTGTAAAGCAGAAATCTGATTACTGTCTGACTCATGTGGACCTGGAGTTTCCCCATTATCTGATTATCCAAGTGCAAGTGATTTTCTGCAGTTATCAGATTATTAAGTGCATGTAAACACACTCAATGTCTCAGACATCATGCAGTGTATTGATTTAACCTTTATACAATGGCAGTGCATAGATGACGTTGGGCATGGTGACCTTAAGCTCATGAGCGGCTGCTCCAGAGTGCCCGATTCTATTTATCAGTGCTTTTCTTATGGGGATCATAAAAATTGTGCACAACTCAAAGCCTGTATCAGCAATGGGTGCCCATATGGTGGAAATTTCCCATGTATTGTTCAAATAAAGGAGTTTGAAGTAATATGTAAATGGTATTGTTTCAAAACATTCAGTCCATACAGTCTATATGTGAAAACTAAGCAGCAAAAACAGCCCATATTGAATTCAATGTTTGTGATGTCACAAGAACCAAGTCTTTTACTTATATCCACCTATTCAGCCCACAGCAGTTTAGCCCTGCCCACTCACGCTGAGTGTTTCAGCTCTGAGGCTTTGTGAATAAGGCACAATACAGGGCAGTCATTTCAGAACAGAGCCCATTTACATACACAAGCCATTTACATACACAGTTTAATTCTGAGGTTGGAATAAGTGGAATATGTGGTCCTCAAGGGAAAGAATGTCTTTGGTAGTAACTCATCTCTCTCTCTCTCTCTCTCTCTCTCTCTCTCTCTCTCTCTCTCTCTCTCTCTCAGAGGGCAGTGTTGAGGTAAAGCCTGCTGTTTCTGAGGCCGGTGTTTCCTGCCCTCTCCCTGATGACGAGCTGCTGTCGGTGGAGGGCAGTGCTGCAGCAGGAGCCACTGTTCGGTACCAGTGTGCCATGGGGTGAGAAAGAGAAGAACACAGAGGAATAGAGAGAATGCAGTTTCTAGCCTTTCCTTTTTCTCAGCCTTTCTCATCCCTCCCCCTCCCCTCGCAGATCCGTGCTGGTTGGAAACAGTGAAAATTTCTGCCATGAGAACCAGACGTGGCGTTACCCTCATCCCATCTGTCAGCGTAAGTGTCTGTGTGTGATGTGTAGCAGCTTGTGACATTTTTCAAAGACAGCCCAGATGGGATTTGAACCCAAAACTTTCTCATCGGACGGTGAGATGTGTTGGTGGTGAGCCACATGTAACTTTAGCAGGCAAGCTTCATGCTTGGGACATTTTTCAATGCCAACTCAGGTGGGATTCGAAACCAGCACTTTTCTCATCGGAAAGTGTAGGGCTTTGACAGCAACCCACATGTAATTTTAGGAGGCAGCCTTCATACTTGGGACATTTTTCAATGCCAACTCAGGTGGGATTCAAACCCAGCATCTTCTCTTTGGAAGGTGAGCTGTTTTGATGGTGACCCACATGTAATTTTAGGATACAAGCTTTATACTTGGGACATTTTTCAATGCCAACTCAGGTGAGATTTGAATCCAGTACCTTCTCTTTGGAAAGTGAAACATTTTGATAGTGACCCACATGTAACTTTAGGAGGCAATCTCAGGAGGGATTCGAACCCAGGACCTTCTCGTCAGAAGGTGAGGGGCTTTGATAGCAACCCACATGTAATTTTAGGGGTTAGGCTTCATGCTTGGGACATTTTTCAATGCCAACTCAGGTGGGATCCGAACCTAGCACCTTCTGTTTGCAAGGGCAATGCTCAGTATTACAGAAGTGCTGACCGTACCAGTACTATACTCAAAAACATTTTATGACGTAATTTATCATGATAGCAATAACATATCGTCATATTAGCCCACCTGTACTGATGTGTAAGTCCACCTCCTTGTTTCTACACTCACTGTCCATTTTATCAGTGACCACTGACCATATAGTTTCACTTTGTAGTTCTACAATCACAGACTGTAGTTCATCTGTTTCTTTGCATACTTTGTTACCCTGTTCTTCAGTGGTCAGGACCCCCTCAGGACCCCACAGAGCAGATATTATTCGGATGGTGGGTCATTCTTAGCACTTTGTTTTAATGCGTCCTTACGGTGTTGTGATGATGTTCCAGTGGTTTTCTCATGGTGTTCTAATGGAGTTCTAATAGTTTTTGGGTGGTGTTTTAATGTGGTTCTAAATTGTAATGGTTTGCTGATGGTGTTCTGATGACATTCTGATTGCGTTTTAATTTTGTTCTAATGGTTTGCTGATGGTGTTCTAAAGGTGTTCTGATGATGTTCTAAATTTGTTGTGACTGTGTTCTAATGGAGTTCCAATAATGTTCTAATGGTGATCTAATGGTATTCTAATGGTTTCTGATAGTGTTCTAATGGTTTTCTGTTGGTGTTTTAATGGATTTCTAATGGTGTTTTAATGGCATTCTAATGGATTTCTAAAGGTGTTCTGATGGAGTTCTAATGATGTTCTGATGGAGTTCTAATGATGTTCTGATGGTGTTCTAATGGTGCTAGAGTTTTTAAACACTGTGTCCACTCACTGTCCACTCTATTAGACACTCCTACCTTGTCAGTCCACCTTGTAGATGTAAAGTCAGAGACGATAGCTCATCTGCTGCTGCACAGTTTGTGTTGGTCATCCTCTAGTCCTTCATCAGTGGTCACAGGACGCTGTTGGCTGGATGTTGGTGGTTCTCAGTCCAGCAGCGACATTGAGGTGTTTAAAAACTCCAGCAGCACTGCTGTGTCTGATCCACTCAGACCAGCACAACACACACTAACACACCACCACCATGTCAGTGTCACCGCAGTGCTGAGAATGACCCACCACCCAAATAGCACATGCTCTGTGGGGGTCCATGGGGGTCCTGACCACTGAAGAACAGGGTAACAAAGTATGCAGAGTGGAGCGTTCTTAATGAAATCTATGCAAGACTATAAGGTTGGATGTATGAGATTAGCAGGAAGAGTCTGCAGAAAGCAGGATATGAGATGCGTGTGGACGTGTGGAATGTGAAAGGCAACTGAATCTGTCAGAATCCGTGAGTGTCTGTGCATGTGAATGTGAATGAGCGTGTCTGAGCACTTCCGCTACAAACTATAGGGAGAGAAACTGGAGTGAGAGACTGTGTGGGCGAAGGTGGAGGAGGGTAGAACATTATGTGAGAGTATTTATAAGCACGCTATGGCAATATGGTAAAAATATCACTCCACGATACATAATACACATCACAATGTTTTGTTTTTCTCAGCTTTGCGAACAATTTGGAGCAGCTAAACAGCAGTGCTGTATTGAACAACGGCCACTCCCATAATAATGATTGTTTTTATTGAATGGTTCTAAACATATAGTGAGCACAAGAGGAAAAATAAACTGTATGAATAAAATTAAGTGCCATAATGGGTTGATATCTGGTCGGTATATTGTTCCAATACAGCAGTTATGCAGTTAGTCTGCACTGGTTGTTGTTGTTGTTTACAAGCTCTTTATAATTTGTATAAATCTGTCTTTATATGATCCATGCAGTTGTTCAGTGTACTGGTGATACCTATCAGTACCTACATACTCAGAAAAGCATCATAGTTGCCCACTACTAATGTGCACCTGGATTTTAAACATGTTTTCCTTTGCTATGCTGCCCTCTGCTGGATCAGTATGAAATTACACGTCATGCTGTATTTGCTTCTCTATATTAAAACCCTCACATGCCATCTGGTGGTTATTAGATGGCACTACAATCGTTTGTGGTTGTACTTTACATGAGGTCATAACAATTTAAGGCCTTGGCATTCATTTCTACTGGTGCAATTAGCCAATCAGCCAGTTAGCCCACAGCCAGTCAAATCCTGCTGACATAATAACAATGTTTATTGTTCATTCTTAAGTCTAAAGTTTAATCCAAAGACGTGTATTCATGTCCCGTAGGTGTGTTCTGTCCACCTCCGCTGGAGGTTGACCGTGGCTACTTGGTGGCCGTCCAGAAATCCGAATATAAAGTGGGCGACACCATCTATTACCTCTGCAAGAAGACCTATCTGCTGGACGGGCCAAACCAAGTCACATGTCAGTCAAATGGCACGTGGAGCACCGTGCCTTTCTGCCGAGGTGAGGGCATTTATTTCTTTATTTTTTGTTTGTTTGTTTTCCTTGTTTACAAAAGTACATGTGCTACTGTTAGCCAGCTGGCTAATTTTTTAGCTGCAAGGCCTGCAGGCCTCGGTAAGGCCTGACGTTACAATCCAAAACACACAATAGCAGACTTGCATACACACAAACAGAAAAAGGAAATCAAATTCTGCATTAAATTTCACATTTGATCTGACTGTATTTAAGCCCATAAACTCTGAGCTTATTATTCAGTAACTATTGTGAATTATTCAGTATCGACTATGAATTATTCATTAACTACTATAAGTTAAGTAACTACTATGAATTATTCAATATCTACTATAAAGTATCAATTAACTACTATGTTATTAAGTAACTACTATGAATTATTCAGTATCTACTATAAATTATTTAGTAACTATTATGAATTATTCAGTATCTACAATGAATTATTCAGTAAATACTATAAATTATTTGTATCTACTATGAATTATTCAGTATCTACTATAAATTATTCAGTACCTACTGTGAATTATTCAGTATCTACTATGAATTATTCAGTATCCACTATGAATTATTCAGTAACTGCTATAAATTATTCAGTATTTACTATGATTTATTCCGTATTTACTATGAATTATTAAGTATCTACTGTAAATTATTCAGTAAATACTATGATTTATTCAGTAACTGCTATAAATTATTCGGTATCTACTATGAATTGTTCAGTATCTATAATTATTCAGTAATTACCATTTACTATGACTATTATTCTATATCTTTAATCCATCCAGATTTACTCATATAATCATGTTCTATATTATTCCATATGTTTTTTTTTTATATAAACCATATTATTAAAGCATGGTTGTCTTTTGTGTTTGTCTTTCTCTCCACCCAGCCCGCTGTCCAATCCCAGCACAGAGGAGCAGGGTGATAGTGGGCGGGGCTAAGCGCTGGCCCTATGATTTGACGGACGGGATGGTCACTCATGGGGAGAATGTAACGTTCTTCTGTAAACACTCGCAAAAGCACTGCAGCTTCACAGCCACGGCCACGTGCTTCGACGGACAGCTCACCGCACCCAGCTGCTACCTCGGTTAGACACACCAACACTATCATTCACAACCAGTTCGGTTGCAGATGCATGTATAAAACCTTGTTTGCTTGTCCTGCTCAACCTCACAGCTTTCAAATACAGGAATCTATAAAAATACAGATTAAAAAAACATGATCTCTTCATTTCTCCCTCTCTCTCTCTCTCTCTCTCTCTTTCTCTCTCCAGACCCCACCTGGTTCCAATATAAACTCTACCCTCACCGATTGGTGTCTGAGATTGATCCGTGTGACCCCGCTGACCTGGAGGAAACACAGCAGTGAAGCTGCTCTCATTCTAGTCCTGGGTCACATAAACAAAAAGAACTGAACTATCTGAAGCCCTTTCACTGTCTTTCACACAGAGCTCGGCTTCAGAGAAGCAACTGCAGCATTTCGGAAGTTTCCACTGAAGGCGGTTTCTTAAAATCCTCATAGTTCACACGTTTGGAGGTAAAAAGGACTTAAGGAACCGTTCACTGTCATTCACAATATTACTGGGAAAAAGAATGTAGGGATACTAGTGAGTTATTTTCCGTGTAGCAACTCACTCACTTCACATCGCATTGACAAGGTTATCTTAAACTGAATCATTACATTGACAGTCATTCTTATTTTTGCCCAGAGGATATCGGCCCACTGTTGGCCTGCTTACGGCAAAGCTGGCGGCCCTCTGGCCTTTTGCTCAGCGATTTCAGTGCAGCCCACTGGTGGTTAAGCAGAGTGTTGGACACAGTGTCACTTTTCATTGCTCATTTTCCACTCACAGTCCTGTTTACTTATTTTTCCTTCATTTCGTTCTTTCATTATCCTTTATTAATTAGTTTAGTAAATCATTTTAACAGCAATATTATAAATAAAGCTGGTTATTCAGCTGTAACCAATCTAGCACAGTGCCAGCAACAACATTTTCAACAAAATTTTATATTAGGCTATTCATTAATCTTCTTTTCTCTTGTTTGTAGTTCATTTTCCAAAATAAAAGTCCATTTAATAGCTGTTTAAGGAGATTTGCAACCAGTTAGATTTTGTATGCAGGACAGTAATAGGTGGTCCGAGAGTGGACCGGCTGTGGCATACAGTCTGCAGGGTGCCAGCTTATCAAGACAGCAGACCAATATATCGCTGTTGTCGGAAGAAAACCTTGTATCTCCATTTTTGACGTTTTTCAGTTTTTGATATAATTTGAAATTATTTGTTATCCTTTACATTGTGTGTAAATTTCATGATGAACGGACTAAAAGAAACGACCCAAAATGACTTGGAAAAAAGTCTGGTTCCATTGACTTACATTAAAAGTAAAGTATGTTTTTTCCTTCTCCTGTAAACTTACCATTTTGGAGATACGAGGTTTTCTTCCGACAACAGCGATATGCTCGCTATCTGGGAACAGTTTATTTTGAACATTTAATAGTTTAACAGTAGGAAGATATGATAAAAAATATGACACTGGGTTGATATAACTCAGAAGCCTGACATGTTTGTAATAACCATCATTTTTTTTGTTCTGCTTTGTTGCTTTTAGACTTAAAATGTGTTTGTTTTTCTTGTAGTAGTACTGTACATTTTATTCTATGGTTCTGTTTTTTAGTTATAAGGTCATTTTTTCACCTATCCGATGCTCCTTTTGGCATTTTTTCCACTGCATAAAGTACCAGAACCTTTCACATTGGTACCAACAGGACCTAATGGTGCTACAAGGAGGTTTCTGTCTTTGCTAGCTAACACTTGCAGCTGATGCTAACAACAGTTTACTGAAATATTTACTCTTAAAGTCACCAAGAACTTTTGCATCACCAGTAAGTGCACCAGAATGTAAACTAGAACTGTATTTCAATGTTTTAATTGCTATTTTTTGAATTATTACTGTGTAAAGTGTTGCTAAGGTGACATACGGTAGCTGGGAATGTTATTAGCATTACGCTAGCCTCCACAGAACTTGAGTTTTTGCTCATATTTTCACACTTGACAGAAAAATATAAGCTTTGCTTGAATTTACACATGATTTTGTGTTACTGTACACATTTTTGTGAGTGTGAATGCAGAACAGTGCGGTATATTGTTTCATATCAGCGAGCTAATTAGCAAGCAAGGTAGCTAATTAGCCAAAGTGGATGCTTTAGCGTGGTGTAAAATGACCAAAAAGGCAATAAAATCATTATTTGCAGTTATTATGGTGTTTCCAGCTGTGCCTAGCAGATGGAAAGTGAACTACAACTAGAACCATGAATTCTGTTGGTTCCTCTAACCTCTTGTTTTTGAGTGTGCAGTGGACAAACAGGAAAGAACCGCTTCAGTCTCTTCACTTGCTCTGGAAATTCCACAGTAAACTCCGGGCCCCACTAGATATCATTCATTTTTCCTCAACGTTGTCTCAAACTGTTGGAGATGGGGAAAAAGGATGGGTCTGTAGTGAAGTACGTGTGATAAACCATCGCCTCATGTGGGACAAAGATGAATCATTTCTGCTGTGTCTTTATCAGAAGTCAAATTTCACTCAATCTCTTCTAGACAAGTCAAGCTACTCTGTTCGAGACATGGATTTTACTGTTGATAAGCTGGTTTGGCAATAAAAAAGCAGCTGGAAAATCTCATTTGTCTTTATTGTTATTAAGTAGCCCTACAGTTTGGATCACTTATTGATATATTTTTAATGGCCGTCAAATTGACAAGCAGAATTTATCGGGTTCACTCATTCATTTTGTATGCATAATGTTCTGCGCTCCAACCTGCTATCCCAAACTCCAGTGCTGGCTCAACTTCATTTACAAGTTACAAGAAAGCAGACTAATTACTGGCATACAGAAATGTAAAATATCCTCTGTTTGCCAACTTCCAGCAAATTCCAAGAATAAAAAAGAGCTTATAGATTCTAATATTCAAGGATTTATTTTCCATATTAACAAAATCAGCAACTGGAAAGCTCAGGGTCTTTCGAGCCCTGTTTACACCAGGTCACTTCCCGTGTCTAGTATCTGGATTGTATCCTGTTAAGATTTTGACCACATGCAGTTACACTTGGTAGTCAAATGCGTCTCCAGTTAGTTGGACTGAAATCCAATTTCCATGTGGGACGGAATATGCAAATCCGCTCGTTACACGGCAGCCAATTACCTGTTTATCCGTGAAGCAGTTTGTTTTGTACAGTCGTGTTTGTCTATATTGCTGTTAAGCCTTTCGTTTTCTCCGGCCCAACCATCTGCGTCCTCCATGATTCTCTTCCTCACAGGCACGAATCACGTACCCAGTAATGTACTGCACGTGGAGGGGTTTCAGTTGTACTGGGAGGAGTTTTGGTTGTACTGGGAGGAGTTTTGGTTGTATTGGGAGGAGTTTCGATTGTACTGGGAGGGGTTTCAGTTGTACTGGGAGGAGCTTCGGTTGTACTGGGAGGAGTTAGGTTGTACTGGGAGGTGTTTTGGTTGTTCTGGGAGGAATTTTGGTTGTACTGGGAGGGGTTTAGGTTGTACTGGAAGGAGTATCGGTTCTACTGAGAGGGGTTTCAGTTGTACCTGGAGGGCTTTCTGTTGTACTGGGATGAGTTTTGGTTGTACTGGGAGAAGTTTTGGTCATACTGGGAGGGGTTTTGGTTGTACTGGGAGGAGTTTTGGTTTTCCTTGGAGGAGTTTTGGTTGTCCTGGGAGAAGTCTCGGTTGTACTAGGAGGAATTTCAGTTATACTGGGAGGAGTTTCGGTTGCACTAAGATTGGTTTCAGTTGTACTGGGAGGAGTTTTGATTGTACTGGGAGGAGTTTTGGTTGTATTGGGAGGAGTTCTGTTTGTACTGGGAGGGGTTTTGGTTAAACTGGGAGGGGTTTCAGTTGTACTGGGAGGAGCTTCAGTTGTACTGGGAGGAGTTAGGTTGTACTGGGAGGTGTTTTGGTTGTTCTGGGAGGAATTTTGGTTGTACTGGAAGGTGTATCGGTTCTACTGAGAGGGGTTTCAGTTGTACTTGGAGGGCTTTCTGTTGTACTGGGAGGACTTTTGGTTGTCCTGGGAGAAGTCTCGGTTGTACTAGGAGGAATTTCAGTTATACTGGGAGGAGTTTCGGTTTCACTAAGATTGGTTTCAGTTGTACTGGGAGGAGTTTTGGTTGTACTGGGAGGAGTTTTGGCTGTTATATGTGTCTTGGAGAGCCGGATGCGTTTACGCTGCTATAACGTGGCTCAAATGCGTCTCAGTCCACCTCCTGAAGTGGTTTGAGTGATCGGATCTGTACCTGTTTTAAATGCGTCTTTGGTGCGTTTACACTTGTATTGTTATGTGGTCCAGATATAATCCTGATACTTAACATGCATAAAGTGACCAGGTGTAAATTGGGTCCAAGGCTTTGTTCACACAGCAGGTAAAAGTGGCCCAAATCCGATCTTTTTCTCCATATGTGACACAGATGTGTGTCTCTGTGTGTCAGTGTGAACAGATAAACACACTGAAGCAGACATTTTCAGTTCCGATTTGAGACGCTTTCATATGTGGTACTGAAATCCGATACCGTCTGAACAGCCAGATCGGAATTCAAGTGACTTTTACGTGAATCCAACTCGACATTCATCGTAATTTCACACTGCTGAGACTCATAAACATCCCTCATCTTCCTCTCTCTCTCTCTCCCCTTTCACTCTCTCTTCCCCTTTCCCCCTCTCTCTCCCTCCTCTTCCCTCACTATCTCCCTCCCCTTCCCTCTCTTTCCCCTTGCCCTCTCTCTCTCCCTCCCCTTTCCCTCACTCTCTCTCTCTCTCTCCCCCCTCCCTTTCCCTCTCTCTCTCCCCCTCCCCTATCCCTCTTTCTCTCTCTCTCTCCCTCTCCCCCCGCCCCTCCCCCCCCCTCTCCCCCTCCCCTTTCCCTCGTCTCTCTCTCTCTCTCTCTCCCCTCCCTCCCCTTTCCCTCTCTCTCTCTCTCTCCCCCCTCCCCTTTCCCTCTCTCTCTCTCTCTCTCTCTCTTCTCTCTCCCCCTCCCCTTTCCCTCTTTTTCTCTCTCTCTCTGCCCCCCCTTCCCTCTCTCTCTCCGCCCCCTCATTCATTCAGATTTGGTCTTCCGGAAGTGCGCGAGGCTGGGGTTAGGCAGTGCCGTCTCGCGGGGTGAGAACAGTTTCATATTCACTATAATTCAGCCGGAAAGCGGAGAGTGAGAGTGAGAGTGAGTGCTGAGGGGGGCTTTTCGGCGCTGTGTGAGGAACAGGGGGGCGGTCTCAGGAACGCTGTTAGGCTCAGAAACTTAGTGTTAGTGGTCGGTGTGCGAGCCGAGCTCTCCGTCTGTGTGTGTGTGAGAGTGTGTGAGTGTGTGTGTGACCGGCTCGGACCGCGGGTAGGGGAGAAAATGGCCGGCCGCAGGTTCGAGTCCTCGGCGGGTCTGTGTGTTTACCCTCTCCGCTCAGAGCGGTCAGCCTCGGTCCGTCTCCGCGTCTCTCTCCGCGGCTTCACTCTGTCCGGTTAACGAACCACGCGGCTCGGGTCCGACTCGCAGCCTCCGCGCGGTTCCTCCTCCGGTTATTTTCCATAATCGGACCTTCGACTCCGCGTAATGGCGTCCGCGGCGCTGTGTGTGCAGCAGGAGGACATGGCGAGGCGGAGGGCACCGACCGAGGGCTCGTCTCTAACCCCGAGCCGGGCGCGTTCACGAGCCGGATTTAGGAAATACTAGGGTATAAACAGTAAGAGCTAGTTTAGTCGGTTATATCGGTCCGTTTGACCCGTACAGGCTATCTGGGCTTTAGGAAACGGGTCTATAGTAACACTGCAGGACTTTTATCAGATTATTATAGTAAATACAGACATTAGCTTTACTGTAGTTTACTGTATAAGTAGTATATATTACTATAAGACAGAATCACAGGAATATTATTAGATAGGAAATTATTATAGATTATTAAAGAATAATAATACAGCACTATAGACATTACTGTTCACAATATCATTTCATATACATTAGCTTTACTGTAGTTTACTACGTAAATATTAATATATAAGAAGTGAAAATATTATAAATTATTATAGAATAATTCCACTATATAAATAATTGCACTACATAAATATTACTGTTCCTTATATTATTTTTAAAGATCATTTTTTGACTTAGAAATTTACGTTAAACCCGGAGTTGGTGCCGTTTACATTTTCACATTTTAAGAAATAATAATAGATAAAAAGTAAGAGCTAGTTTAGTCGTGTCATATCGTGTCACTGTAACCCATACAGGCTGTCTGTGCTTTATGAAACAGGTCTGTAGTAACACTACAGGACTTTTATGAGAATATTAGAGTAAATACAGACAATAGCTTTACTATAGTTTACTACGTAAGTATTAAATTACAGGAAGTGAAAATATAGATTATTATAGAACAGTTACTCTATATAAATAATTGCACTACATAAATATTACTTTTCCTTATATTATTTTTAAAGATCTTTTTTGACTTAGGAATTTATGGTAAACCTGGAGTTGGGGCCGTTTACATTTTCACATTTTAAGAAATAATAATAAATAAAAAGTAATACTTAGTCTCATCGTGTTATAACGCGTCACTTTAACTCATACAGGCTGTCTGTGCTTTATGAAACGAGTCTAAAGTAACACTACAGGAGTTTTTACAGGACTCTTATACGAATATTATAATAAATATAGACCGTTAGCTTTACTATATTTACTACACAAGAACTATAAATTACCATAAGACAGTACTACAGTAATGTTATTGGAAATTAAATATTGTAGGTCATTATATAATAAATATACAGCACTATAGAAATTATGCTGTTCCTTATATTATTTCTAAAGAATTTGTTAAACCTGGAGTCGGGACTGTTGACATTTTCACATTTTAGGAAATAATAGTGAATAAAAAGTAAGAGCTAGTTTAGTTGTGTAGCATCACATCATTGTAACCCTATAGTATCTATAGTAACACTACAGGACTCTTATGAGAATATTATAGTAAATACAGACATTAGCTTTACTATAGTTTACTACATATGTGTGTGTGTGTGTGTGTGTATATATATATATATATATATATATATATATGTATAAAATATGAGGAACAGTACGATTTCTATAGTGCTGGGTGATAATATTATATATCACCCAGCACTATAGAAATCCTACTGTTCCTCATATTATTTCTAAAGATCAACCATAAAGGCTGTATGTGCTTTATGAAAAAGATCTATATTAAGACTACAGTATAGACTATAATATAATAGTATAGATTGCTACAGGAATATTATTATAAATGAAAATGTTATAGATCAGTATAGAATAATGGTACAGCACTAGAAATGTTACTATTCCTCATAGGATAGGAATAGGATCGCATAGGATTCCTAATAGGTACATTTCTATAGCTCTGTTTTGACTGAGGGGTTTATCTTAAACCCGGGGTCAGAGCCTTTGACTTTTTCACATTTTAAGAAATAATAATGAATAAAACATAAGATTTAGTTTAGTGTTATAATCGCATCACTTGAACCTGTACAGGCTGTCTGGCCTTTATGAAACAGGTCTGTAGTAACACCACAGGAGTTTATACAGGTCTCATAAGAATATCATAGTAAATACAGACCATTTCTATAATAAACTACAGTAATGGTCTGTATTTACTATGATATTCTTATGAGTCCTGTATAAACTCCTTTTGAAGTGCACGTGCTCTGCGTTTGCAGTATAATGTTGTGAATGTATTATAGATTACTATAAGACAGAACTACTGCAATTTTATTAGAGGTGAAAATTTTATAGATCATTGTAGAATACAATACGCAGCACTATAGAAATATTAGTTACTTATATTATTTCTAAAGATGTTTTTTGACTTAGGAATTATGTTGAACATCTCTTAAAATCTCAGGTTAATTACATACTAAGGCTAATTATTCCGTAACTACAGGGACTTCAGTGCAAACTTGTTGAGCTATTCTTAGGATATAGAAGTGTGTAATTAAACTTTGGGCCTGCTGGTTGGGCGCTGGCCATTTACTACAGTTTACTACACAAATATTATAGATTACTGTAAGACAGTGCTACAGGAATATCACTGGGAATGGAAGTGGAATAGATTCTAATACAATAATTATATAACAGGGTTTGATTTATGTCAGATTCTGAGTTGAAGGCATTGACGTTTTCGCATAAAATTAAAGGGACTGACCTAGTTTTGTCATGTAACATCGCATCACTTGACCCTATACAGGTTACAGTGTCTATAAGAATCCTGACAATTATTATAATTATTTACTATTATTTACAATTATTTATGAACAAGTGTTATAGATCAATACATCACAGAACTACAGGAATATCATACAGGGATTTAAATATTATGGATTATTATAGATGTATTATACATAACTAGCACAGGAATTTTATAGTTTCTAATGTGGTAATTACCTGTAGTATTACTCTATATCTTTTTGATTTATGGATTAAGAGTTCATGTCATATTTTTAGGGGAATAATAGATACTAGTGAAAAAGAAGAAGTGGGCCTAGTTTTGTGTAACCTATAGATTACTACACAATACCACACAAGTATTATAGATTACTATAAGTACTACATATACTGGAATAGAATAGAAATTGATAATGGTGCTGCATTAATAAAGCTATACATTTGGACTAGGGCACTACAGGCCAACTCACAAGCATGGATGACTAGAGTTTGATGAAGATTCATAAGCCAAATATGAACAAAACGTTTTATTATGGAAAAGCACAAATGTTGAAAAGCTTGAAATTTGGTGGATGAGTGTAGTAGCTACAGTAACACTATAAGAAATGATAAGATACCTATAAGGATGTATAGTATTTATATAATAGTCAGTATACTGCAGTAAACTATAGCAATTTTCTGAATTTTTCTGCCTGAAAAGAAAAGGTTGTCTGCATGTTTTGAGACTGAATGATGAATGTTTGTGCCCATTAATTATTATAATATTTTAATCTCATGGCATTCAGATCTTAGTTCATGTTTTACGCAGCCCAAATGTTTTATAGTTTTTTCATGTTTTTCATAGTTGACTGCCCTGAGATGTGGTGTGACTTGGCAGCTCCATGATGGCTCTGGAATAGAAAACTGGCATCACTCACTGGGGCGAAATGCTTAATAACACGGTCAAAAATCATTCTCACCGGCAGCGCAGCAGGAAATGCTCAACTGCCCGAAGTTATGCACTTTTTCATTTCTCACCAGGCGACACGTTTGAAGCATGAAACGAGTATTAGTGTCAAATCACTGGGTCACGACCCCAACTGGCACTGATCGGTCACTATATTAGGAGTCACACAGTGATCGTGATGTCAGAGTTATTGTTTTTTTTGTCAGAATGTTCTTTGAAAGGGAGAAGAACAGCACAGGCAGAGCTGTTTTGTATTCAGGGGTTCCTTTTAGCTCTTGACTGTGTTGTTGATAGGTGTTAAAAGGTTATTTGAATCAAGAGCAAAAGCAGAATCTGAATCTCTTCAACATTTAGCTAAACGGCTGATGATATAATTACCTTGTCACTGGAATGTGTTCCAGGCCTCTCAAGAAATATCTACATGTGTGATAGTTTTTACATGTGTGCCTAGACTGCAGGATGTTAATAGACTACCAATACCATGTCTTGATCTAATGATATTAGTCCGATTTTATACGCTGTTAAAAGTGAGAGGTCAGCTCAGCTCAAAATGATATAGTAACTGATTACATGGCTTTTCTTGAGTTGACTCAACTTTAGGACACCAGAGTTCACACAACTCAAACTTCTTAGTTGAGTCAAAAATTCTCTAATTTTTTAGTTCTGCGTCTCAGTTTGGTAAATAAAATGAGCTTGTTTTATATACTCAACTTCCTCACTAGTCAGGACTCTCTGCATCACACAATCCTGATGGACATTTTTCCTTTTGGGTACACACTTATGGATGGCTGTGGCATTGCTGGGGCTTAAACTCACAACCTCCTGTTGGGTTGATGGCTTAGTCCACTGCACTCCTCAGGAAAACATGAATCCGCTCAGATTTTGTATCTACAGATGTTTAAAATACTGGAGAAAATATTTGTTGTTTTAACTTTAAAGCAAGGCAACGTTAATGTGGTGCAACTGTGTCATAACTCATCCCAACAGCAGGAGAGAAAACATGCCAGATGGGACTGTGTGATAGAAGGAGCACCAACTAGTGGGGAAATTGAGTAAAAAAAGGCAAATTAAGTTTTGTTTATCTAACCAAGATGCAGACCTAGAAACAGTAGCTGGGAGAATTTTTGACTCAACTAAGAAGTTTGAGTTTTGTGAACTCTGGTGTCCTCAAGTTAAGTCACCTCAAGAAAAGCAGTGTAATCAGTTACTATATCATTTTAAGTTGAGCAGATTTCTCATTTTTTACAATGTACACATACTGTTGTATTGCATGTTTGGATGACTTCTGACGTCGAAAGACACTTTGTCCTGGTAGACGATGTCAGTTTTCTGTTCCTAAGCTACTGAGAGAGCCCCACCTGATCCCTCAAGGTTGGAGTTTTTAAGTGTTTGGGATGCTCCAAACATTACCGTGATGGAATTTCAGGCAAACCATCAAAATGAAAAAGGATATAATCTATCAGAGCACTGATGCCTTTCAGCCTACAGAGTGGGGCCCTTATAACTTCACACAAATAGTTTGTCAGTGTTTGTCAAGGGTTGTGAATCACTGTGGGAGCGTAGATGCTCTTTGTCTAGAAATTAGGTTTGCATGATCAGAATCAGTCAGGATCAGTTATCAGATCGATTTTCTCTCCTAACATGCAGTTGCCCAGTTTATTTTTATTTTGGCCAATCTATGTTTTGACTTTATTATGTAAATATTTTGAAGTGCACATGCTCTGTGTTTGCAGTATAATGTTGTGAATTAATACACAGTTTCATGCATGAGTTTGAACATGTTTTGTTGATTTTCTAAGTGAAAATAAGTTAAAACATCCTCTACAAAGAACACACTAAAATGTGCATGATTTTATTGGAAGTTGAGTTTATTGGAAAAAAAATGTAACAACAAATATAAAATGTGTCATCACCCCATTTTATGTTTTATTTTTTCCTGAATATGTTACATTTAGTAAATAGACAGTGTACATATATATATATATATATATATATATATATATATAAACACAACTAACCAAAGCTTTTTATGGCAATTTTGATTTCTTTATAGTCAAATTGGCCAGTTTTTGTTAGGCAACAGTGCAACAGAAACAAAACAGTAGCATTTTTTATTTGCTTTTTACCCAAAGAGCACACTTTGCATGCCAAATGAACACATTGATCTTAATTGTAAATGATTTCTGTTCAGGCTGATCCCGATTGTGCTCTCCTATAATTAATTATTGTATTAGAACGTCCCATGCTTTGTTCTTTGTTTCTACAATTTGTGCGAAAAACACACAAGTAAAAACAATGCAGCAAGGGTGCTGTGGAAGAATTGAGCTTTGCATGAATTAAAAAAAATAGATATTTAAATGGACAAAATGGGTAAAAGGACTATCTTTCATTTTTATTTCTTTTATAATTCAATAAAACTTGTCCTCTGGTCAATTTGGCTGTAAAGGAATCAGAATCAGTGCAGCCCCTACTAGGAATCTGTATCACGTTTGTCCTGTGCAAATACTGAATACAGAATTCTGCACTCTTTTTCCAGATTAATGCTCCGACCAATGGCTGTGACGGTACCATGGATGGACACCATCTGCCCCATCAAAACAGGAAATGTTTCTCTTTGCATGGTTTGTACAAGAGGCTTTGGAGGAAATGCTTTAGAAGTTTCTCAGGTAGCAATAAACTGACTACTTCAGCAAGTATTGAGTGACGTCATCGCTCCTCCTCTGGTGAGATAACAACTGAAGTTAGGACACTCATGGTTCAAACATCAGAGGAGATTGTCAGGACCTTCTCACCCACGCACCAATCAAAGAGAGTGATCTTGGCTCCATCACAGAAAATCACGAGTTAAATTCTTAATGGAATTTGAATCTGAAGACCAAATACTCCAAAATATTCCCTCCGTCTCAGGGGTATCTCAACAGCACGATGAAGTAAGCACTGACAATAGAGAAAGTGACGGCAAGAAGAGATCACCAAGGCATTCCGTTTCAGACAAGAATCCTGTTCAGTCAAATCAGGCTGTCACAAATGGTGTCACCACTCCAGAAACCAAAACAGACACTGTGCAAACAGTTTTGCCATTGACACCCAATATCATGCCTGCAGAAGTGAATGAACCAATAACCAAAGTGATACATTTAAATTCTAACCTCGTATCCAGCGATTTACTAGTAATGAAAGTTCAGCGACAATCCCCTCATTCTGTTTGTAGCAAAGAATTTGATGAAGGACTTAGTCACGTTACCAAAGAGGAGGTGAAGATACAGGACTTTGCTAACATTGTTGACTCTGATGATATTACTCATGGAAGAAGTAAAAACTGTGAGGCTCTGGAAAAAACTAGAGACTGTCCAAAGAAAGAAAGACCAGAATGCAGTCAAGATTGCGACCAAGCTGCCTGTAAAACTCAAATTATATTTTATGAAAGACAGGAGGGATTTGATGCAGCAATTCCTGAAGCCATGACTTGTGCTAAAGACATCCCAGTGCAGGAAAAGGCGTTGGATTTAAGCCTGCCAAAAAAGAAGGCCAGGGATAACAAAGAGAAATGTAAATGGGTTCTAGATTCTGGATACGAGGGTTCGTTATTGATGGAGGTAGATGAGATTGAGGATGATACTCAACACGTAGAAGTAGATGAGGATGATGAGGAGTGCTGGTTTACCTTGAGAAATGATGATCCAAACAATTTTCTCCTAGAAAATTGGGATCAGCATTCTGTTTCTCATATAGCCATACCGTCTCCCCCTTGCACCAGCTTTTCGTCTCTTGATCCAAAGGACACACTTCTCATAGACGACCAAGGCATCCCCTACACTCTCACTCCAGATGGTCAGAAAGTCCCTCAGATAGATCCTTCCAAAATGCCGAAGGTTCCCTCAGAGGAGATCAGTACTGGATTTGCGCAGATTGAGGATGAGGCAACTGCATCCTCCCAAGATTCTGACACTGCCCAAGAGTTGTCTCTTCCAGGCACTTGTCTTGATCTTTCAATAGAAACCCAACAAGATACCGTAAGGACTGAGAAGAAATCTCCCCTTGACTCTACTGATGAGGCCAAGTCAGCAGCCTTACCGACCATATCAAGCTTGCCTTCGCTTCCTATTCAGATAGTGGCTAGTAACACTGGATCAAACACTCCCATCCTCCTTCTTCCTCAGTCTCAACTTCAGACACTTTCATCGTCAGCAACTAAAACAAATCCAGGAGTCATGGCTTTGACACTACCTTTGGCTCTTGCCCAGAACACTCAGTCTTCCCCTGTCTTTCTTCTCCTTTCATCTCCCCAAGTATCCGGTGGAATTCAGTCTTCTACATTATCAGAGCAACTTTCTCAAATTTCCTCCACATTACCTGTTGCACTTCCCACACTTGGCCTTAAACCAGAACCAGTCTCCTGTACTACTAATACAGACGTCTCAGGACAAAATAAGCCCTGTAATTCTTCTTCTGCCCCTACCTCACCCACTGCCTCCTCAAGCACTTCGTCAGCGACATCTAGGAGTCCCGCTAAACAAATGAAAACTGAGGCATGCTCTGACACACCCACTTCTTTTCAGGAAGCACTACTCAGATTAGCGGTATCTGCCGTACAAAAAGCAGAAAAACAACCTAAATCCAGTGAGACACCTTCAGTCGTTACACCCTCAACTGAAGCAACACAGTCAGCGTCCCCATCAGCAACTCATGCTCCAGAGGAACAAGTCTTGTCGCCAGTCTCTGAGCCAGCTTCCATCCCGGCGGACCAAACGGACTCTTTATTAAGCTCCACCTCTGCTGACGGCCTTCCATCACTGTCCTCCACTTCACCTCTTCGTCCATCGTCACCCATATTTCCCACCAACCATCCCAAGAACCAGGATTCGCAGGCATTAGGCCCACGTCGCATTCTTTACTGCCAGTATTGCCCGCGGGTTTTCTACTACCTCTCGGACCTCGAACGCCACTCCATCACGCACTCCCAGAGCAAGCCACACGTTTGCCAGCTGTGTGGCAAAGCCTTCAAACGCTCAAGCCATCTGGAGAGGCACAAGCATATCCACACGGGTCAGCGGAACTTCGTGTGCCAGCTTTGCCCACGGCGTTTCCGAGAGGCAGCGGAGCTGACAAGACACCAGCGGGTACACACAGGGGAAAAGCCTTTCCAGTGCCTGTTGTGCCACATGCGCTTCGCTGAGCGCAACACTCTACGGCGGCACACCAAGCGCAAGCATCAGGGTCAGCAGCAGGAGGCGATGAGCATGAAAGTAAAGCCAGAGACTGAAGCGGTCTCCCTTATTGGTATTCAGGGGCAGCAGGAAGAGAATGCAGAGTGGTACAGCTCTACAATGACTGAGATGGACTCTGACAATGACACGGGAGGAGAATGAACATTTAAAAATATCCATAAGACTTCTTTAATTTATTTAAACAAAACAATCAAAGTTGCACAATGTTCCCCACACATCAAATATGGTCATTCAGTCAAGACACGTTTGGTGACCAAAGTTTGCTGCTTTTGTTTTGCGTTGAAGCTACGACAAAAGTGTGCCTCATAGCGCAAAAGAGTAGTACCAGCCAAACATTTTGACAGTAAATGAAAGAAGAGGTGATGATGTATAATTAGGGATGCAAATTTTGGCAAATTCTTGTGACCAATAACCAACCGTTATTAGTCGGTTTTTAATCATTAGCTGACAAAACTAAAATCACAGACCGATGAAAACATCAGACACAGCACTGTTTTATGTAAACAAGACTTTAGGCCAGGGGTGTTCAGTCCAGGTCCTGGAGATCTACCAACCTGGAGAGTTCTGATCCAGCACACCTGGCTCAGATGTCCCTGCAGGCCTTTGTTACCTGGATCAGGTATGTTAGATTAGGAATGGGGCTCTGCAGGGTGGTAGATCTCCAGGACCAGGATTGAGTACTCCACTTTAGGCTTTATTGAAGGAAAAAAATGCAGCCTAACATAACAAATGTAATGTAATGTAGTTTACTTACATCTACCACATATTATTAGCCCAAGTGAGCAAACATACATGGCCTCACTGGGGCTAGCTTGAAGTTCATATTTAGCAATCAACATAAAGTCTGTAGCTCACAGCTTTTAAGCTTTTTTGTCATGGTACTGTTTACATAGGCTAACCGTTAGCTAACAAACACATTTGTAGGCTATAGCTTAAGGCTTCACTCAACAAAAAGTCAGTTTAAGTGTACCTTAGCAACGTGTCATGTGGCTAAACATCCTGGTTTAAAATAGTTTAATCTCTGGATTAAGTTGGCCGTCAACTAAGTAGGGCTACCAGAACAAACGGCGCTCCTGCGCCCTCATGCATAGAATTCAAACTCGCCTATTTGTTTATTGGATATTGAATAGTTTCTGACCGAGAACATTTGTCAAACATTTATCTATTTGTCGTTTAACATTTAATCATCAACATACCCTATGTATCTCTTCTGCGAGAGACTCTTCAAACTGCTATGTGTTTCGACCAGACAAAAGCACACCAGCATTACAAGATAGCTATCTCTATAGCGCCCCCTGGTGCACTGCTCAGAATGCAGCTTGCACTTGCCTTGCATAACCAATTGTGTCGTGATGTATTTCAAAATGCAACTACACATGAAACCGTACTTGTTCACATAAGCATGTTTCTGGCCTTAGGCATGCAGTTTACACAGTGATAATGGGGTTATATTTGTTAGCTACATTAGCCTCGTAGCTCCAGTGCAAAAGCACAGAAGCAAATGACATCAGACCCGTCTTCGCTGATTCACTACATTTGGGCTAAAGGGAGAAAATGTGTCAATTTGAATTTCTGTCCAAATTATTGCGTTGAGTGTGGCTTTGTGTGAATTATGCTTGCAGTTTTTGAACTCTTTGTTTTACACATACATTCCTTTGCTGCTTTCACCAGATATACAGCTACTTTCATTCCACTGATCATTAATTTAGTCAATATTGTGGCTGCGTTCTTTTATTTCAATACTGACATTGACTTTATTGCTTTGGAAAAGTATCTTACTTCTTAGATTGGCTTTTTTAAAAGCGTGTATTAGAGCGTATATTTCTTAGCCTGGTAAAACTTTGCTGTGAAGGTAGAGTCATCAGATATATTAAAAGGGAATTTCACTGTTTTTTGATAAAATTACTGCATATTTAATAGATGAGGTGTAAACAAAGTCATTTAGAGTGGTTTGATGCCGAATGGTTACCGTTACATGCTGACTCAGATTTCTCTACAGTGGTGGTGATAGGAACCAGGGGTCACAGTGTCTTCATTAAAGGTGATGGGGATGTGGACTGTGCAACTACACTGTTAGAAAAAACAGGGGTGGTTCCCTAAAGGGTACATCTCAGTACCTTTAGTCAGGGAACATAACTGAACCATAATCCACTGAAATGATATGTTCTAAGCTGTACTGACTCCACACACCCCGTCTCGTCTACAGGCTTTTATTTAACTGTTCTGTTTTAAAACATTCGGTTATGAAAAGGTACAAATACAAACTTTTCACCTGGAAACACTTATTTAAGGTTCACAATCAGACCTTAAAACCACTGTTGTACCTCTGAGGGAACATTTACATCATTTGTACCTCGATTAGTGAAAAATGTGCATGCGCATAACCTTTATTTCTAACAGTGCATCAGGCAGTGAATTCATAACCATTTCACGTAATAACTTTCTGTGAGGGAGCTCTCAGAGGTGGACGTCTGGTTCCTATCACCACCAGAACCGAGCGTTTCACATCAAACCACTTTGAACGACTTTTATTGAATTATGCAGCATTTTTTTGATTGGTGCAATTCCCCTTTAACTCAGTAGAGTTGTGAAATTAAAAAAAAAAACTTCCTCATAAACATTTATTCTGGCATAAAAGACTAAAAAGTAAAGATAATGCATCCAGACACCTTCAAATATCTAGAGAGAGAAAGAATAGAGGGGGGTTTATTTTTGTTTTTTCTATTTATTAACTGTGAGCAAATTGTAAAGATATGTTTTATTACCCTTGTGCCTTGAATTATTGTTTCATCATTTTCACGGAGAAGAAAGAATCACTTTGCCTTTGCTTTTATTTTTTTCAGAAATAATGTGCACTGTGGAGCTGGAGCGTTAAGTAATGAGAGTAATTCTAGTGTGCTGTGTTCTCTGAGGTCATCCTTATTGCTTTGAAACTGCTGCTGTGCAATGTTATAATTGAAATGAAAGGGTTCTCGATATCATTGATGTTGACAGAATCCCTCACTGACTGCTCACTTCAGGTCGCGTGTGGTGTGATTGACGCGCCGAGCGTAATTAGCATCGGCAGGATTTGCTGTGTGCATAGGCGGAGTGTTTGATCCCCGAGTTTGATTTTCATTGCTTCACTTGAGCGAGACTGGAGAGAAGTGCACAATCTGCAGAGTAAATATATTGTACTAATATATTAATATATTCCCTGTAAATAACAAAAGATCACCCTGGGCCTGATCGCCTAAGGTTAATTTGAACTCTCTATAGCTTGTATTTCAGATTTAATTAGGAATCTGAATATTTGCACACTGTAATTAAAGCTTGCTTGCTGACCCCTTCTCCCTTTACTCCGACGGTTCCCATGCTCAATTATCCAGGCAATTTACCCCGCTTTAGCCTCACTGGACCGCAAATATTGAAAGCATGGGGAGCTTAGGCCGGGCCGCTCAGAAATATCACTTAAACGGCTCTTATTTGGTTCGCACCCGTGTGCCGTCCCCTCATTTTATATTCAAATGGATTCGGATCGGCTTTATTTACTCAACTCATTTCACAGTAGACTTGCCACAGACCACAGAGTCATTCAGCTCGACTTGGGTCTTCATTACGGCGGAGCGCGGAATGCTATGTAATGGTATGTAATTGTCGAGGGATGTCATGTGCCGTAGAGCTATAATCATCATTCTGAAAAGAAGGCCTGAATTTGCACTCTTTAAATGTGACGCAGGAAAAAATATACTCTATTCACAGCTCATGATAACACCAATCACACACCTCACAAACCACAACATACACCGATCAGGCATAACATTATGACCACCTCCTTGTTTCTACACTCATTGTCCATTTTATCAGCTCCACTGGCTATATAGGTGCACTTTGTAGTTCTACAGTTACAGACTGTAGTCCATCTGTTTCTCTGCATACTTTGTTAGCTCCATTTTACCCTGTTCTTCAGTGGTCAGGACCCCCATGGACCCTCACAGAGCAGGTAGTATTTGGGTGGTGGGTCATTCTCAGCACTGCAGTAACACTGACGTGGTGGTGGTGTGTTAGTGTGTGTTGTGCGAGTGGATCAGACACAGCAGTCGCTGCTGGAGTTTTTAAACACTGTGTCCACTCACTGTCCACTCTATTAGACACTCCTACCTTGTCAGTCCACCTTGTAGATGTAAAGTCAAAGACGATAGCTCATCTGCTGCTGTACAGTTTGTGTTGGTCATCCTCTAGTCCTTCATCAGTGGTCACGGGATGCTGCCCACAGGATGCTGTTGGCTGGATATTTTTGGTTGGTGGACTATTCTCAGTCCAGCAGTGACACTGAGGTGTTTAAAAATTCCAGCAGCACTGCTGTGTCTGATCCACTCAGACCAGCGCAACACACACTAACACACCACCACCACGTCAGTGTTACTGCAGTGCTGAGAATGACCCACCACCCAAATAGTACCTGCTCTGTGAGGGTCCATGGGGGTCCTGACCACTGAAGAACAGGGTAAAAGGGGGCTAACAAAGTATGCAGAGAAACAGATGGACTACAGTCTGTAACTGTAGAACTACAAAGTGCACCTATATAGTAAGTGGAGCTGATAAAATGGACAATGAGCGTAGAAACAAGGAGGTGCTCATAATGTTATGCCTGATCGGTGTAACTACTGAAATATTACATGGTATAATCTGTCACTCTGACATTCCGGCCTGAAACTAGCGTTTAATATTCAATGTTGTCGTGTTATTCAGCATTGTGTAGCGTAGCATTGTAACATTAAACTCAGCGGTTCGACAGAATTCACTGTTTTTTACTGCATTAGAGAATTTGAGAGAGGAGAATTGCCACTCTGTAAAATCTCTGTTTGTCAAACACTAGAGGGCGCTCCTGAGTGAGTCCAAAATGAATAGATTTATATGGAGCAATATTATAGTTTGTAAATGCTTGATCATTTTTTATAGAAGAATGTATTCATTTCCTGAACACAGAACAGATTTTAACACTGCTGATATATTTTTGAGCGCTTTAAAACTCCAGTTATAGGACTTTATCAAGGCGCCCCAAGTACATTTAACACATCACTCTGCCAATGAGCTGGTCAGCTCACCAACCAGTCAGCACTCAGGAGCAGTAACGCTAACCGGTAATGCCAAACAATCAGCACTTAGTCGCAGTAATGCTATCCAATCAGCACTCAGTAGTAGTAATGCTAACCAATCAGCACTCAGTAGCAGTTATGCCAAACAGTCGACACTCAGTAGCAGTAATGCTAACCAATCAGCACTCAGTAGCAGTAATGCTAACCAATCAGCACTCCATAGCAGTAACACTAACCAGTAATGCTAAACAATCAGCACTCAATAGCAGTAACGCTAACCAGTAATGCTAAACAATCAGCACTCAGTAGCAGTAATGCTATCCAATCAGCACTCAGTAGCAGTAACGCTAACCAGTAATGCTATCCAATCAGCACTCAGTAGCAGTAACACTAACCAGTATTGCTATCCAATCAGCACTCAGTAGCGGTAACGCTAACCAGTAATGCTAAACAATCAGCACTCAGTAGCAGTAATGCTATCCAATCAGCACTCAGTAGCAGTAACGCTAACCAGTAATGCTATCCAATCAGCACTCAGTAGCAGTAACGCTAACCAGTAATGCTAAACAATCAGCACTCAGTAGCAGTAATGCTATCCAATCAGCACTCAGTAGCAGTAACGCTAACCAGTAATGCTATCCAATCAGCACTCAGTAGCAGTAACGCTAACCAGTAATGCTAAACAATCAGCACTCAGTAGCAGTAATGCTATCCAATCAGCACTCAGTAGCAGTAACGCTAACCAGTAATGCTATCCAATCAGCACTCAGTAGCAGTAACGCTAACCAGTAATGCTAAAAAATCAGCACTCAGCACTCATCTGAACTGCCAAATAAACACCATCTATTTATTATTTTACAGGGGTCACTGATTGGGGGTGTGGGAGCTCACTGATAGGTGGTGCTGACAGAAGTGAAAAATCAGAGGCAGAAAAAACCTCAGGAAAACTAAGCATGACAGCGGCCCAGCGTTCAGCTTTCACAGCAGTCACGACTCTGACTCTCAGACATCCTCTAAATGGGCGTTGTTTTAGCGTCAGTTAGCTGGAACCGAACCTGCACTGTGCTGTGTGCTACGTTTGGCCTGCTAACTAAGCTACCGCTAGCTTAGCCAAAATGCTACAGTCCCAAACACCACAGAACAGGTTTGATTTCAGCCTCCTGCTCTCAGACTTCAGTGTTTATCTACACTTTGTGTCAGCAGAGCAGCAGGTAGTCAGAATCAAACCTGCACTGTGGTGTGTGGCACTGCTTTGGTCTGTAGCCTGCTCGCTAAGCTAACGTTAAGCTAACTGATCTGGCTACAGGTCAAAGCACCATAGAATTTCACCTTTTTCTTCCCTCTCAACTGACTCCCTCAGGTTTGAATCTTTATCATCTGAACTTGTTTCGGCACTTTAGTTAGCCAGAATTGAACATGTTCTGTGGTGAGCAGGGCTGAGCTGAGCTAATGCTAGCAACCGTAACTCTGACCTCTTCATTAAACAAAATTATACAACAGTTAGTTCCGGCCCCACAAGCTGATTGGTTGAGAAGCATTCTGACCTAATGGTGGAATAACAACACGTTTTTTTTCAAACACTGTATCACTCCGCTGAGATGCCGTTGCTAAGCAATGACGTTGACAGCCGTAGGAGACGCTCAAGCTCCATTTGATCGTTTTTAGTTCTTACTTTGCCACAAACAGAAAATGGACACTTTTAAGATCACATTTGACCGACAGCTGATTTGGTCAGACTCTGAAGATGAGACGACACTAAATTCCCAAACTGTCATCACCACTGAGTGGGCGGAGCTCGTTACTCTGACGTAGCAACAAGCTGCTCGTTAAGGAACTATAATTTGGTGAAGGAACTGCGAACATTAAAACATATTAAACGCCGCGTTCACAGCCCAGTTTATTAATTTATTACTTTATTTATTTAACTGTTGTATTAAAGCAATAGAACACTCGAGGAGTGTGTTATCGCCAATAACATCACGGCTGTGATGATCTACGGCGACCAAATCACAGCCGTGATGTTATTTCGCGATAACACACTCCCTCACACTCTTCCCTCCTCGTCTTCTACTGCTTAATCGTAAAGAAAACTGATGTTTATTTAGTGCAAAATGGAAGCCAGAGACTAATTTTTTTACCCCTTTAACCAGAGAAAATAACCAAACTAGATAGTCGAGTGGCGACCTTGCTAACTTTTGAACTCCTTATTTGAAGAGTCACTTCTGTCATTTTGACTGATCCACTCTTTCTATTGTAGTGATGATTTCAAGACAGTCAGCACAGTTTCAGTTAGATATTCGACTTCATAACTGTAGCTTTAGCCATCTGACTTCCATTCACACTTGCTAGCTAGCAGGGAAAATAAGAATTACAGTTTACTGATGAAAATCCACCCCAAAGCCGCTCTAGTTCCTCCAAGATGCCTCATCATCATTAGAAGGTGGGTTTTCTTGTCTTTAAACTGGAAAATGTCACTGTTGTAGATGTGAATATGCACGTTTACAATAACAACAACAACAACAATAATAACAATAGTAATATAGGAACACAAGCAAAGTAAAAGATATATAAAAAGAGCAAGGTTATGAAAATGAAATAAATGAAAACAAATAATTATAGATTAGAAATGAAGAGGAACTACAGTTATATGCAAAAGTTTGTGCACCCCTGGTCAAATGATGTTTTGTTGATTTTCTAAGTCACATCCTCTACAGAGACACACTTCTGCACATTTTAATCCAAGATTACCGTTTATTTGCTGAATTTACACATATTGGATGAAAAAAAACCATAAAAGGTGGCCTTTGCAAATGTTTTGGCACACTTTTTATTTTATGGTTTTTTGTTTGTTGGTAAATCTCAGCAAATAAATAGAAAATATGTACAAAAATTTGCAAAAATAGTTTCCTGTAGATGATGTGTTAACTTATTTTCAGTTAGGAAATCAACAAAACATTGTTTGTCTGGGCTGTTAATACTTTTGCATATGAGTGTGTAAGGTAAAAAAAAACAGGTAGCGATGAATAGATTTGTCATTTTGGCTGGAGCGTCCCTGTAAACAAAATGCCTTGATAAAACTGGTATATTAGGTGCAGTTTTGCTCATTCTTAGCGTACAAAGCTGAAATACTGAGGCTTTGATCAGACCATCATCTGAAGTTTGGATGATTTTAAATGTTGTGGATTTTTATTTATTTATTTATTTATTTATTTATTTATTTATTCACTCTTGCCATACATTTTAACAACATAC